TGCACAATGGTGGACTAAAATCGCAATGTCGCGGCACCCTTAACGCGCCGGTTGGATTCTAAGGCAAAACACACACACGCACACGCACGCACAAACAAACAAACAAAAAGGAGATGAGCACAGTGACGTCGGACTTTCGACGCTATGTGATTGACTTGTCGGCTCCAAGCGTCGGCCGACCTCCGACGTTCACTATCTTATGGAATGACTTGCACGTTCTGCGTTGTCAGTTGTTTCGCCAATGTGCGGTGGCTCTTACATTTTAATAATCGGAACGTGACTTTCGAAAGGGGTCAATAAAAAAAAATACCGCCGATCAGTCGACCACCACGCCCGTGCAAAAAAGAAAAAAGAAAAAGAAAAGGACTTTTCGTGCGCAATTACTTTGGCGCATTGCTCGGCCGACAAATGAGGGATAAGATAGCTTTAAAAATGCGGGCTTTAGGATGGGCTGCTTTCTGCCGGCCACCCCCCGCGTTGAGACATGGAACGTGACTGGCACTCTCGCTATCGGCGCGTTCGGGAACAATAGCGCCGCGTGTCGCGATTTCGCCGCTCCGGTCGTCGGTCACTTCTGCCACTCTTTTTCCGTTGAGGCTGTACCCTCGTGGGTTTCTGGATCGTTCGGCGTAGAAGGTTCGGCGCGTAGAACATTCTAACCTCGATTCAGCAAGACGGTTCTCGAATTCACCAGAACATCAAATTACACTGTCAACAAAACTGTGTAGCCGCGCGGCCAGGAATCGAGCCCTGGCCTTCTGCGTGGAAGGCAATCTCGTTAACCGTTAGGCCACGCGCGCGCTGCCTACTTGGCCAGCTGCGCGCGCGGCATTACTCCCTCCTTTAAAAAGTGCATCGTACTGATGCAACCCAAAAACAAAACGAAGCAAATAAAACAGAACGGTAAACTAAAGAGTCATTTGGAACACATAAGGTCCACAGTCCTATCGACCGTAGTATGGCTTCAGTCGCACGACGTGGACGACTTCCGGTCGTGGAGGGCGGCGTGACGAAGTCCGTGTTCCGTCGGGCATCACTTCGTAGTTCAGATCCCCGAGTCGACGAAGCACTTTGTAAGGTCCAAAGTAACGTTTCAAAAGTTTCTCGCTGAGACCGCGGCGGCGAATCAGTGTCCACACCCACACCCTGTTTCCGGGCTGGAAGTGGACGTCCCGACGACGAAGGTTGTAGCGGCCGGTGTAGACACGTTGTTGAGCCTTAATCCGGAGTCTGGCGAGCTGACGGACTTCTTCTGCCCTTTGGGCAACCACCTGGGCGTCGTCGCTTGCGTCGACAGCCGGTTCGTGGGGTAACATAGCGTCCAGCATTGTCTTTACCTTGTGCCCATGCACCAGTTGAAAGGGTGTCACTCCGGTGGTCTCTTGTACGGCCGTGTTGTAGGCAAATGTGACGTACGGCAGCACCTCGCCCCATGTCTTGTGCTCCACGTCGACGTACATGGAGATCATGTCGGCGATGGTCTTGTTGAGTCTCTCCGTTAGCCCGTTGGTCTGCGGGTGGTACGCCGTGGTGCGGCGATGGCTGGTGTGGCTGAGAGGAAGGACTTCTTGCGTCAGCTGGGCCATGAATGATGATCCACGGTCTGAGATCAGGATTTCGGGAGCGCCGTGCCGGAGGACGATGGACTCGATGAAAAACTTCGCGACTTCAACAGCCGTTCCTGATGGAAGGGCTTTTGTCTCGGCGTACCGCGTGAGATAATCGGTTGCGACGACGATCCATCGGTTTCCTTGCGTCGATGGTGGGAAAGGTCCGAGTAAATCCATACCGATTTGCTGGACTGGGGTAGATGGCGGCGCAATAGGCTGAAGAAGTCCTGCCGGTCTCGTCGGTGTCTTCTTCCGTCGTTGACACTCGTGGCAAGATCGGGTGTAGTGGTGCACTGTCTTCGCAAGCTTGGGCCAGTAGTACTTTTCGCGTATCCTGGCAAGAGTCCTGCTGTAACCAAGGTGTCCCGCCGTCGGGTCATCGTGGCAGGCTTGAAAAATTTCTTCTTGAAGACTGGAAGGGCCCACCAACCGCCACGCCGTGCTGTTGTCGCTGAAGTTCTCCTTGTAGAGCACACCCTGTCGGATGGAGAAGGTTGGCAGTGTTCGTACAAAACCGCGGGGAACGGCGCTTCCTTGTCCCTCTAGGTGCTCAATGAGAGCTCGCAGCTCAGGGTCGTCTCGTTGGAGTGCTGCCATATCGCTGACATCCAGAGCGCCGAGGAAACACTCATCGTCGTCCTCTTTGGTGCAGGAAGGACCGGCCTCGACTGGGGCCCTCGACAGGCAGTCGGCGTTATTGTGCTTCCGGCCGGACTTGTACACCACGGTCATGTCGAACTCCTGCAGTCGTAGGCTCCACCGGGCGAGGCGTCCGGAGGGGTCCTTCGGATTTGCCAGCCAGCAGGGTGAGTGGTGGTCTGTGACCACGTGAAAAGGACTTCCTTATTGCCCAGACGACAGCGAGGCACTCCTTTTCAGTAGTTGAATAGTTCCTCTCCGCGTTAGACAGCGTCCGACTTGCGTATGCGATGACTCGCTCTGCGCCGTCTTGCCTTTGGACTAGTACCGCACCCAGTCCGGTGTTACTGGCGTCGGTGTGGATTTCGGTTTCAGCAAACTGGTCGAAGTGGCCAAGAATCGGGGGCGTCTGGAGTCTTCGTTTGAGCTCGTCGAATGACCTCTGGTGCTTTTCTGTCCACTCGAACTTTATGGCGTCCTTCGTGAGATGTGCCAGCGGTGCGGATAGTTTGGCAAAGTCTCGAACAAAGCGCCTGTAGTAGGCACAGAGTCCGAGGAATCTTCTCACTGCCTTCTTGTCGGACGGCGGCACAAATGCAGCTACGGCGCGGGTCTTCTCGGGGTCAGGTAGAACACCTTTGTTGTTCACGACGTGGCCGAGGAACTTTAGTTCCCTATAGGCGAACCGACACTTTGTTGGCTTGAGTGACAGGCCGGCGGTCTTGATGGCTTGAAGCACGGCTCGAAGTCGTCTGAGGTGTTCATCGAAATCTCATGAGAATACCACGACATCGTCCAGGTAGACGAGGCAGCTCTGCCATTTCAGACCTGCCAGCACGGTGTCCATGACGCGCTGGAAGGTGGCTGGTGCTGTACAAAGTCCGAACGGCATCACTTTGAATTCGTACAGTCCGTCGGGAGTGACGAAGGCAGTTTTCTCCCGGTCACGTTCGTCAATTTCAATCTGCCAGTAACCACTCTTCAGGTCCATCGACGAAAAATATCGGGAGTGGCGCACTCGGTCTAACGTATCGTCGATGCGGGGGAGCGGATAGACGTCCTTCTTCGTCACAGCGTTCAGTCGACGATAGTCCACGCAGAATCGCAGGGTTCCGTCCTTCCTCTTTACAAGCACGACTGGGGACGCCCATGGACTTCTTGAGGGTTGAATTATGTCGTCGTCGAGCGTCTTCTGAACTTGATCTTGAATCACTTTCCTTTCCTTTAAGGAGACTCGATACAGCGACTGGTGGACGGGGAGTGTGTCGTCGTCGGTAATAATGCGATGTTTCGCCATTGGTGTTTGGCGAACTTTCGATGTCGTGCCAAAACAGTCACTGTATTCGGCGAGGAGATCAACCAGTTGCCGGCGCTTCGAAGCTGGGAGCTCGGGGTCGATGTCGAGCGGCGGCGGCGTCTGCTCTTCTGCTGCGCGGAAGACCACTCGACGCGGAACCTGAAGCTCGGACCAGTCGCCGCACCCAAGGTCTACACCTGCAATACGGACTTCTACCACCCAGGACCAAGCAGCCAACGAAGCCGACGATGGACGGCCAGCAATCGCAGTCCCCGACCGCCGCCGCCGTCATCTACCTGCCTGTTACCCAGCACCTCCACCAAAATGTCACGGGTGGTGTCCAAAAAACAATAAATAAACAGAAAGAAATAAACGTTTAATGTGGCGAACTTTTGCTGAAAATAAAAGGGCTACAAAGAATAATAACAGAGCGTCGCGGGCGTCGAAGTCGGCGAAACCGCAGGATCGAGCGCTGGGGCGAGACTGACTCCGCTCGCCTTGCGGAATCCCTTATGTACCCTGGTGGGTTTCTGGATCGTTCGGTGTAGAAGGTTCGGCGGGTAGAACATTCTAACCTCGATTCAGCAAGACGGTTCTCGAATTCAACAGAACATCAAATTACACTGTCAACAAAAATGTGTAGCCGCGCGGCCAGGAATCGAACCCTGGCCTTCTGCGTGGAAGGCAATCGCGATAACCGTTAGGCCGCGCGTGCTGCCTACTTGGCCAGCTGCGCGCGCGGCGGTATAAGCTACTCAAGGCACTCTTGCACGGCGAAGGAGAAGGTGTTGGGAACGGGACCCGATAACACTATCGCGTTTTTATTGGGCCATCGCGCTTGGGCCACACGCCAAAAGAGCGAGATATCACTGCCGCATCCAATGAGTTATTTTATTTTTGCTATGGGAATTAGTTTATTGAGTTGGTACATTCTATTTTCCTTCGCCAATGAAGAAAAATGCATCTTGTTTTAACAACGCTTGAGTATAGTTTTCTCTTTTAATCGTGTCAATGTATTAAGAATGGTGCTGCTTCTTGGGCAGTAACTTGCGTCACCTATCATGCAAAAGTTCGAATAGGCTAGAGTTAACTTGGCTAAAGGGTGCGACACCCTCGGAGTCCCCATAATTCCCCGTCGTGCTCAACGGTGGCACTGGCGTTTCAAAAATGTCCATTATCGCAACAGTCAGAGCAGCAGACACGCTAAACAATCCTATGACGCGTGTCACGTGCGCCAAGCGTCTAATATCAAAACTGAAAATAGCCATAGTAGAGCGAAACACTACATGAACATAACGTTTAATGTTCGCTAAAAACATAGAGATAGCGATATCTCGCGTTGTGCGCACATTTTTGCCTTTAAGCGAGCGATGTGTAATCGTAAACGTACCTTTATTGTGACGACCGTCATAAAGTTAAGAGTAGCATATCTTAGTGTGAAGACGCCTACTTGCCTCGAACATGGAGAGGCTGTCCGATGTCTTTGCCAGGAAACACTGCGAGTAGTTGGTCCATGTCTGGCCATGCAGCGGGTTCAGGTACCAGGTGCCGTTCTCCGTGCACAGCTTGCTCGCAGTCCCTGTACCCACCACCCGTTGTAGGAAGGCCGTCGCCGTAATTCCTTGCAAGCAAATAATCGCGAGTTCACTGTCGAAGACCGCAAGTAATGTGGCGGTCGAAGATGGATAGCTTTGTGGTATTTTAATCAAACTGGGACCTTTTGGTGGATACAACAAATAGAAGCGACCACGTTCCTGTGGCAAGTAGGAATGGCCGTTAAGAGATGCTTTACCTTATAATTCCAAGCACTAACTTCAGAAACATGCAGAATATGTTTTTCTCCAATAAATAAATAATTTTTGTGTCATAGCCTTTTTATTCACAGCGAAGTTTAAAAGAGCAGCCTTACGAGAAATAGATGAAAGTATTTCCTTTAATTCTAATGAGTTGTGTATTGAGACCGGGCTGTCCAGAGAGCCCACGATGCGGCGGTGAGGCTAGGCCTCCCCGTCCCCACGTGGGAGCGGCCCGCGGTGCTGCCCTAAAGGCAGCGCTTCTCAAGACCTCAATAAAGTTCTTTGTCTGTCTGTCTTTCTGTGTATTGAGTATTTTTTTTAGTTGAGATATTGCAAAAAGTGGTAAGTTGCCTTTAATCAAGATATAATATTTTAGTTAAATAATGCTTTTTCTTTCCTTTTTTTTTAAACAGAGACTTCTACGTTCTGTTGAAGTGCGGATTCAGGCTGTGAAATGCTTCGCGGAAGCAGGTATTGCTCAAAGAATACATACAAAAAGTTGCGATAGAGGCCACAGGTTTGTGTTGATCGCGGCGATCTCAGATGTCAGGAATATCTCCAAATGAAGGTAATAAAGCGAACACACTCCAAACTCTGATGTCTCGTTACATACAAAGCTTTTAGAAGTTATTTTCTTTTTCTAGTTATGGAAAGGCTATTTTAGCCTAAGTTGTTAAGCGACCAAATAGCACCAATGAAAGTATTTTCACGCTTTAAAGACTGCTATTATTATATTGATGAAGCACTATATGTTTTTTATGTCGCACCTGCCAAAAAGATATGAAAATATGAATTACACCACATGGGGCAGTAATCTTCTTATTACGACCTTAAACTCGCGCGGTGATGTGTACAGTAGCCGACTACGCAATCGCGAAGAAGATCAATTACTTTTTTACAAGACGTATTTTCTTAATTTGAGTAAATTAACCATTTTGGATAAACAAACAAGAAAAAAGAATGCTAGTTAAGTACATGGAACTTTCTAAAAAAAATGCTCCAAGATCTCAGGCGTTGTGCTTTATTGGGTGTTTCCCAAAACCCTGGAAAAATAAAATATTACTATTTTTGTCTTAGTGTTTTGTTTCCATACCCGCTTGCAATCGCGCTTTCAGTTAATGCAACTGCATTTCCCGTAGAGAAAAGAAAGTCGCTATGAGGTTAACCTTGGCAGCATTTTGCCTATTTTTCTTTGCATCTGAATACGAATGTTAGCGTTTTATAGAATAAAAGCGCGTGTTCGTCGTTTTGCGCTTTTATTCTATAGAATAAATCATCAACTAGCCCATGTTCATGCCCTTATTTAGGGTCGTATTTGATTGGGACAAGCACTGTTGACACGTCAAAACTCACTGAGTTCTATCGAAAATGTCCTTGAACAGCACAGACTCCCCTGACTTACGTTTCCACAGAAGGTGTCTTAACAAAGGCCATTCTGGCCAACAGTGATCTGATTGTTCAAGCTTACGTCCCCCGTGATTCACAAAACAGCTAAGCGAATACGAGTGAACTTGCAATGTATTCAGCGAGAACATGTTTTCATACTCTTAAAGTTCGATGTTAACATATAAATTATGTTACCTAAGTGGTGCCTATTGTGAACACACACGCCATGCCAAATATTCTTTGATAACCACAGAGCTTTGTTATAAACATGGAAGCTACCACAGACCACGTTTTCGAGCTAAATGTGACGCCCTTTCCACCATCTGATGCTTTATCTCTTTCACCGATTCCTGAGGTTATTATGCAAGGCGAACTGATTGAGCCAAAAACAAAATGGACGCGACACGTAGAAGGCGTAAATTTAATAAAATCTTTCTATATTTCAAGCCGGAGCTACTATATAAAATAAGTAGCTCAGTGGGCTCGGTGGCACCGCGTCAGGCAGGATGGCTAATCCCTTCTTGCTGTATATGCAGATTCTACTGTGGCTGCCTACCCTCGCAACACCACTTGGAGAGAAGCACCAGGACTTGGCTGGCTCTACACGCGTTCAAAGATTCGAGCAAGTAATCTTCTCGGCGACTCACGATCCACCAGTTCATCATGGAAGACAAGATTACAACAGTGAACGCGCACCGTCAGCACAACATCTGCTGTCGAGGTTTCCTTCCGGACCGCTGGTGACGAGAGCAACATCGTCGGCCGCCTGCAAAAACCGGAAGCTTCACGACACCTACTTCAGTGGGCTCGGTGGCACCGCGTCAGCCAGGATGACTAATCCCTTCTTGCTGTATATGCAGGTCAGTAATAAGTATCGTTGGTGCAAATGCTTAAGAGATTACACTGTGTCACTTATTGTGCTGCCGAGCCCTGGCTACTTTCTTGTTATGATGACTGAGTGCTGGGATGTCGTTCTTCTGCTGCTTCAACTCTGTGGTGATGTTGAACTAAATCCCGGACCGCTGCAGAACATTTTGGAAGGTCAAAACAAAATAGCGGAAGATATTGCTCAACTGAAAAGCCATTTTGGCACCCTGGAAGCACGCTTGGGAGCGATTGAGGCGTCGACTTCCCGTTTGAATGAGCTAGTTGAAAAGTTCAATAGCTCGCAGCACAAAGTATCCAACCTAGAATTGTGCGTGCAAAAACTGGAAAAAAAAATAGATGACCTGGAAAATAGAAGTAGACGTAATAACCTTATATATTATGGAATCCGGGAGATGGACAACGAGACTGAAGACAATTTAATGAACAGTGTAGTCAATGAAGTGTTCTCCGATAGGTTAGCAGTTAACGTGAAAAGTATTGAAAGAATTCATAGACTTGGTAAATGGTCTTCTAACCGAATGCGTCCCGTTATCCTCAAATTTGGTGACTTCATGGAAAAAAAAGAAGTACTTAGAAATGCCCGGAAGTTAAAAGGAACAGCCATTTTCATTAACGAGGACTTTTCCCTACTCGTCAGGAACGTACGGAAAAAGTTGTGGGACAGTGCTAAGGATAACAGAGATAAGGGGGAGAGGGCGACATTATTGTACGACAAATTAAAGATCGGGGACGTAATGTACGCCTGGGATGAAGAGAAGGATGAGAGAGTACAATTGCCCCCGCGTGCTCCAAACGAGCAGCATAATTACGCTAGGAAATGACCAGTCATGTCGAATGGCAATAAAGACTTCGTAGTTCTCAATGTGAATGCCAGAAGTGTGGTAAATAAAGTCGTTGAACTTGAACATATCTTGATTGAACATAATTCGCATGCTGTCATTATCACGGAAACCTGGTTGAATTCATCAGTTTTAAATTGTGAAATCATCCCACCCGGATATAAAATTCACAGAAAGGATCGGGAACGTAAAGGGGGCGGCGTCGCTATAGTTATCAAGGATTGTTTAGATTGTACGGAATTAGAACGCGCCCCTGACATAGAAAATAAATGGTGCAAGATTAAGTTTGGCCATGTTGAATATATTTTAGGCGCTGTTTATCGCCCGCCCGGAATGGGATTAGAATTTGTGAATAAACTGAGTGACTTTCTAGATGAACTCCGCGCGCACTCTCGTAAAGTTATCATTGCCGGCGATTTTAATCTTGCTGATATCGATTGGGATGGCATGGTTTCGACCTCTCGTGAAACTGTGGTTTCTTCCGCTCTTCTCGAAATGTTTTTTTCGCACAATCTGACTCAAGTTGTCAGAGAACCCACAAGAATTCAAGGTTCGTCCAGTTCGCTTCTGGATTTGTTTCTGGTTTCTGAAGGCTTTCTATCATCCCCTTATGAGTGTAGCGTGTTGCCCGGTATTTCAGATCATTGCATAGTCCTTTTATCTCTTCCAAACTTAACAACCCCTTGTAGAAAGTTTACATATAGCGTATACCAGGATTTCAACCAGGCCGACGATGAGGCTATCCTGGACGAACTACTTTTGGCACAAGGAACTTTCCAGGAAATGGCTGGTACTCCAGCACTTTCGGTCAATGACTTGTGGCTTTACTTAAAAGAAGTTATAACTAAGTGTGTGACTAAGTATGTACCAAATAGGACAAAGAAGAAAGCAACGCACAATCCCTGGATCAATAGAAATATTATTCATTTAAAAAGAAAGATATCACGATGTCGGGCACAAATTCGCAGAACAGCCACTCCCAGTGCACGTGAAAAAATCAGGTTGTTAAGCCAGAATCTTAAATCGTCAATTAAAGACGCGAAACACAGGTGTTTTAACCAAACGATGCCGGCGTTTTTAATCTCGTCTCCCCGCAAATTTTGGCGGCACCTTTCACCAACAAAAGAGGGCGTGAAAAAACTTGATGTCGATGGACACACGATCGAAGATAACTACGAGATAGCGAATTGCTTTAATACATTTTTTTCTGCTGTGTTTTCTTCTGATGACGGAACGACGCCTGTGTTTAACCAATTGGAAGATGTTCCCGCCATCCCTGATGTACAGCTGTCTCGAGAAGGAATTGTAGATCTGTTACTTCACCTAGACTGTAAGAAAGCAACCGGATACGATAAAATTCCAAATGCGTTTCTTCAACGATATGCCGAGTCTCTGTCCCATTATATTATTATCATATTTGAGAGATCCCTGTCTTCAGGTTCATTACCCAATGACTGGAAGATTGGTAAAGTTGTGCCTGTTTTGAAGTCTGGTAAAGCTACCTCCGTTAACAATTACAGATCAATCTCACTAACATCAACATGTGGGAAAGTTTTAGAGCATATACTTTCGAGCCATTTTCACTCCTTCTTAAGTCATTACAAATTATTAAACAGCTCTCAGCACGGCTTTCCTAAAGGGGTATCTACTATTACTCAGCTGGTTGAAGT